TGTTCCCAGATTTTGGAGTAAGATACGCATATGTTACTACTCTCACAAATTCTTCTTGTGTTGTCATTTCAAATTTTTGTCAAAACTTCAAATTTTCAGGCGCTTCCAGGACATTCTAAATCCCCCTTTCTCTAGTATTTGGGCTCATTTTGGACCCATTTTTGATGGAAAATATAGAATAAGAAGTAGAAGAAAAAGGAGAGCTCTTTCTCCAATTTTAGTGAGAAAATAAAGAAAAAATAAAGAAAAAATTGAGGAAAAAAGGAGGAGGGGAAGAAATTTGTGACGGTTGATCGCCCACAAATGTTATCCTTTTTCTTCTCATTCCGAGTTTTTCTTTTTTATATTATTCTCCTTTTTCTATTGTCTTACCTAGTAGAAATATCCAAAAAAGTACAATTTTATTGGGTTCTCCAAGACTTGTTGAGTTTTTCGAATTTCGCAAAAATTTGAAAATTCAAGGTTTTTCCTAAAATCGAATCCTGAAATTGTTGAAATTTTGAAATTTAAATTTTCAGAATCCTAGCAATGTTGGAATACCGTAAAACCTGTATTAGAAGGGTCGTCCCTTCCAAGGTACCTGCGAAAGGCCCTTCTATTAGAGAGTGCCCTTCTAAAACAGGTTTTACAGTAAGGGAATTTGTTGAATTGTCTGAAATTTTAGTTCTGTTATCTTGGAAGAGTTTTGAAAATTCTTTTAAAAATATTTAAAAATCGTAAATTTGACAATAATTGAAAATTGAAATTTTTTAATTACCGTAAAATCACTGTGAGTCAATGTATCTCGCTTCCTGATAAAGATATAAAAAAGTTGCCAACTGATAAATTGTTTATCATAATATTCTCTGCATTTTATCAGTTGACACATTTTTGATATCTCTTACAAGAGCTGAGATAATTGAGCTCAAACTTGACAGTGTGTGGGGGGCCTTTTATTACAGGTTTTACGGTATTTTTTTGAAAATCGGTAAAATTTAAACGTCTCACATTTTCCTAGAATTTCCAACTTTTTGTGTACTTATCGTAAAACCTGTATTAGAAGGGCCCCTTTAATAGAAGGGTCCCCTGTAAAAAAACTTTCCGTACGTTTTCAGTGAAAAATATTTCGGGAATTCTAAAATTTAATAGAAACTCTATTTTCTGCTCAAAAACTTGATTAATTTTGGTGAAATTGACAAATTTTCTTGACTTTTGAACGAAAATTTTCGGGAAAATGACCGGAAAAATAGAAGGGCCCCTGTAATAGAAGGGCCGGCCCTTCTAATACTGGTTTTACGGTATTCCTGAATTTCTAAATTCCGCCTAATTGGGAAAAATGGCAAACTTCAAAAAACTAGTAAAAATCAGAAGATTTTCAAAAATCAAAGTTCTGGGATTTACAACAAAAAATATAAATTCTAATGTAAATTTGAATTCTCTTCTTTTTTTTTGGATCCGAGATACTTCTTTTTTTCATGGCCTGGTTTTTTTTTCTGGGTGGCCTAACTTTTGCACTTTCAAGTCCAGCCAAGATCAGAGCCCAGAAATTGAAAAATTGAAAATCGAAGTTTTCCATACTTGTAATCCGGGCCTTTGCCGGGTTTTCGCGGTCCCTGCCATAATTTCTTTCAAAATCGATATTTTCGAACCAACTAAATCAGATATGATAGAGCACCACGAGTACTACTAAACGGTATTATTTGGAATACTGTATCTTATCTATGAACAAAGTTACAGATCATAAAGTGGCTTTTCTCGCAGGGCCCGGCAGGCCCGGGGCGGGCCTGCTTTTTTTGGTTCCTTTTGCTCCGTAACTCTGTTCAGAGACAAGATACAGTAATCCAAATAATACCGTTTTGTAGTACTCGTGGAGCTCTATCATACCTGATAGAGTTGGTTCAAAAACATTGATTCTGAAAGAAGTTATGGCAGGGCCCGCGAAGGCCCGGCAAAGGTCCGGATTACAAGTATGAAGTTTTTGAAAGTTAGTGAGATTAGTTTCTCTTCAAGTTTCCCGCCCAAAAAAGGAGAAAAGTGGGCGGAGCCTAGGAATCGTTTTGATGTCGTTTTCTGGGTAAAAGAGAGGGAGCGATATGCATCAACAAACATTTGCTTTTACTTCTCCTCAAGCCTTTTCAAAGCATAATAAAATTTGCGTACTGACACACACACACACAGAATTTGGTGCTCCCCTTATAAAAATAAATTTTCAAAAAATAAAAAAGTAGACCAGTCATACAGAAGACAGTCAGAATATCAGAGCTGAAAACCAAAAAATTCTGAAAAAAAATGGAAATTTCAAATTTGAATTTTAGATTTTTTGTAACTTTCGGAATTTCAATTTTTCTGGACTTTTGAGTTTTTTGGAATTTCAGGATAAACCTGTAATAGAAGGGCCTCGGCATTGTCGAGTTGTAGAGCTCAATTGTCTCAATTCCCATGCACGATATCAAAAAAGTGTCAACTGATAAAGTTATTGTGATACTGTGATAAACAATTTACCAGTTGACAACTTTTTTATATCTTTATCAGGAACCGAGAACAATATGGAAAATTAGGGGGGGGGTCTTCTATTACAGGTTTTACGGTAGTTAGGAAATTTCGACTTTCACTTTTTGTCCAATTTACGATTTTTAAAGGTTTTTTAAAAGAATTTTCAAACTCGAAAAAATGAAAAAAAAACCCCTCAAACCTTCCAAGATAACATAACTAAAATTTCAGACATTTCAACAAATTCCCTTACTGTAAAACCTGTTTTAGAAGGGCACTCTCTAATAGAAGAGCCCTTCGGAGATACCTTGGAACAATAGTTTTCGACAGGAGCCGAGAAAAATTGGCTCAAAGTTAAAAATTAAAGGGGCCCTTCTATTACAAGTTTTACGGTAAAATATTTCTAATTCTCGAAAATACCTATTTTTCAAAAAAATTTCAAAATTTATAAATTCTAAAAAATTCTCAGAAGTTCTGTCTAGCACTCTCTCAATTTTCCATACTCTCTCTCTCATTTGAAAAAAAAATATTGTGTTCAATTTTCTGTTTTTTTTCCAATTTTCTTCCCGTTCAATTCACTTTTCTCCCGCTTTTTCTTCATTTTTCGAGTTTTAAAAATTTCAAAAAACTCGAAAAATTGAATAAGAAATTTTCAAGTAAAAAAAATCTGAAATTTGAAATTTCAGAATTCCTTAAAAATTGAAATTTTCAAAAAATTCCGAAAAAACAATTTTTCGCCCCAAAATTTCCCCCTATTTTTCCAGATAAATAATCTTCTCGAAGATTCTTTTTTTATTAAAAAAAAAAAAGAAAGATGATATAATCCTATTAGGGTCTCTCATAATGTCGTCTCTAAAATGATACACATATGTGCTCCTCTGAAATTTTTTTTTGCTTAAAAAACCAATAAATATTGTTTTTTTATTATTTTGGTCAAAAAAATGGTCTAGGGAAGTCTAAACATCATTAGAATTTGGGTTTCTAGGCCACCAAGACAATTGCTGGCCTAGAATTTGCATTTTCGGGTTTCTAGGTCACTAAAGTTAGGCCATGTTGACTCTTAAGGTTTCGCGCTATTCTTTATAGCGCTCTAACAAAGTTAGGCCACCAAAATAAAAATCCTAGGCCATGAGATGAAAAGTTAGGCCATGTACGCTCATAGTGAAGTTATAACCTTCAATATTGGTTTTCTAGGCCACTAGGTTGAAAAAACTAGGGCAACACTTAAAAAACCTAGGATTGGTGGCTTAGAATTTAAATTTTTGGGGTTTTCGAGGATTCTAGGCCGCCAAAGTTAGGCCATGTTGGTTCAGGAGTGTTGGAGCTCTAACAGAATATTAACCTTTAATTCCAAAAACTTAGGCCACCAAGGTGAAAATCCTAGGCCACGAAATAAAAAGTTCGGCCATGTTTGTTGGCCTAAGACAAAGTTAGGCCACCACTTGAAAAACCTAGGCCATGCACTTTTCCCGTCCTTTTCGGCTTATAATTACCCTCTCCGAGGGGCCCATACTTTTTAATTATTTCCGACTCTTCTCAAAAGTCAAGTGTTTTCCTCTTTATATATAATTTCTCTCTCTCTCTCTCTTTTATTTTTCAAATTAGTTTTCCTGACCAATCGGTCCCTCTTCTCTCTCTATCTCTTCTATTAGTATTAGAGGTGTGTGAGTGTGTAGCTTGTCACTCATTTGTCGATTTTAATTAGAAAACGGACACGAAAATTCAGCTTCGGCGGGAGGTGAAAGTTTGAGAAAATTTGAGAAAAATGTATTTTTCTAGGTTTGTGCACTAATTTTTTCTCAACGACGGCGCGGAGAGTGGTGGTGGCTGTCCCTAAACGGCGCCCTTTCTTCTACGCAAAACGCCTTGGTGGGTGGTGTGTGGCGTCGTGGCGCAGGCGGGAACGCGCTTGTTTTGTAATCAACTGGTTTTCGGGGGTTGTTGGTACGGCTCCCTCCTTGTGTTTTTGGGGTTTTTTGTTTTTGGGGTTTTTTTTATCACCACTAGAATCATCACGAATTATTATTATCCCTATCTTTATCCGAATACCTATCCGAATTCCCGAATTCCTCTTGACCGTGGGACCCTCACGGAACCTTTTCTCTTTCTCTGTGTCTCTCTGTTTGCTGTGCTCTCTCTCTACCTCTTTTTATATTCTATTTGCACATATGCACTTTTCTTTGTGAATTTTTGGAATTTTTTCCCCCCAAAAAAATTTTTTGAGACACAAAAAAAGAAGATATAGAGGAAGATATAGATCTACATGCACACACTTATTTTGTCATCATATTTATCTTCCTTTTCTGTCCCCTTCTCATAGAAAAAGGGACCCAGGGGGTACCCCATGGGTCCATATGAGAGGGACGGACCAACGGACAATATAAAAATCTCTAGAAATTTCTTTTTTTCCTGTTTTTTCTCATTTTTTAGGAATCTTAGATTTTCCTGGAATAGTTCCTATTTTTAAATATTTTTTACAGAATTTTCAAAAAATCCAAAATTTCAAATTTTTCAGATTCTCCCCTCCTGGAATGAAAAAAAAATTTATATTTCTAATTCCCTTATTCACACTTATTGTGGTGGTTTCCACCACCACGTGTCCACATTCTGTGAATTCCAGAATTCAGGAATGTGTGCAGCCGGTTGCCGAGTATGCGAAAGTTTTGAATAATCAGGTAAGAGCTCTTCCTTTTGCTTGTAACTGGAAAGTAATCAGAGATATAAGACGGTTGAAATTTGGAGAATTTTTTTCACAAGTATAAAAATAGCTCGAATTGATGATTTCCTGTACCATGTAGTATTTATTTCAGTTTCACCAGATTTCTGAATTTTCTGTACAAAAATTATAAATTTTCCAGAAATTAGTCAAAGTTATAGAAAATGTTTATTTGATGGACCTGAAAATGATTTTGAACAAAAAAAGAGGTGGACAAATTAAAATTGGACAGTGTAGACAGTTGGGACAGTGTGGATAGTGTAGTTCCAGTTTGCTCACATCCAGCTGACAACCAATCTTCCTGCATTTTGAACTTTTCGTTGCTCTGGGCATTCTTTTCTTCTACAGGTACGGTTCGCCTCCCGATTTTGTACTTTTTCAAAGGAAAAAGAGGTCACGCCAAATTCAAGTATTATTTGAATTGTGCCACGAGAGGGAACAAAATCGGTAGGCAAACCGATTCTGTACCTAGTGAAACAATTCAAATTTTTTCTGATTTCACGTGTCTTTTTGTGGATTTTGAAACATTTCTCATGAGATGCGATTTTGAACCAATTTTTTGATCGCCATCAACTTCTACAATACGCTTTTCCGGGTGAGAATAAATTCGGATATTCTTCAAATTGATATAAATTCTTGGTTTTGATGGTTTTATTGTTTCGAACGTTTATTTATATCAGTTTCAAGAATAAAACCATCAAAATCAATAATTTGACAAAATAACTGTAGACGCTTTGATGGTTCTTACTGTTAAAGCCGGATTGAATGTTATATAGAATCATAGTCTCAAAACATCAAAATTTTCAGTTATCACAATTTTCAGTTAAATTTTCAGTTATCAGTTAAATTTTCAGTTATCATTTTCAGTTAGTTATTATTGATTTTGATGGTTTTATTCTTGAAACTGATATAAATAAACGCTCGAAACAATAAAACCATCAAAACCAAAAATTTATATCAATTTGAAGAATATCCGAATTTTTTCTCACCCGGAAAAGCGTATTGTAGAAGTTGATGTCGATCAAAAATTGGTTCAAAATCCACAAAAAGACACGTGAAATCGGAAAAAATTTGAATTGTTTCACTAGGTACAGAATCGGTTTGCCTACCGATTTTGTTCCCTCTCGTGGCACAATTCAAATAATACTTGAATTTGGCGTGACCTCTTTTTCCTTTGAAAAAGTACAAAATCGGGAGGCGAACCGTACCTGTAGAAGAAAAGAATGCCCAGAGCAACGAAAAGTTCAAAATGCAGGAAGATTGGTTGTCAGCTGGATGTGAGCAAACTGGAACTACACTATCCACACTGTCCCAACTGTCTACACTGTCCAATTTTAATTTGTCCACCTCTTTTTTTGTTCAAAATCATTTTCAGGTCCATCAAATAAACATTTTCTATAACTTTGACTAATTTCTGGAATGTTCATACAGAAAATTTCTGAATTCAAAAAAAGCAAGACAACACTGGACGAAACCTGTCGAAAAGACAAACTTTTTGAAAAACGCTTGTTCTTTCTATTAACTCTGTTCTTTTTGTATATAAAATATGAAAAATTCCGATTTTCAAAAATGAGAAAAAATTCTTCAAATTTCAACCGTCTTATATCAAAAAGGTGTTAATTAACAAAAAGAAGAACATAAAACTTTACACAATTTGTTAGTTGGCAAAATTTTGATACTGTAGTTTTTGAGATATAAATTTTGATACTGTAGTTTTTGAGATATGCGCCTTTAAACTTGACGCTTGTCTTAGGAAGGGCCGGGGGGCACTACAACTTTAAAGGCACATATCTCAAAAAATTTGGTAGCTATCAAAAATGTATAAACTACAAAATGTAGAGTATAAAAATTTACATATTTTGATAATTGACAAAATTTTGACAGCTACTCTAGTTTTTGAGATATGAGCTTTTAAATTTAAGGCGTATCTTGAGAAAGGGGGCGAGGGGCGCGCTGCACTTCAAAAGCGCATCTCTCCCAAACTACGATAGTTATCAAAATAGTGCTAACTACAAAAATAAAGAGCATGAAGTTTTAGAGATTTTCTTAGCTAGCAAAAATTTGATAGCTACTGTATTTTTGGAGATATGCGCCTTTGAATATGCGGCATGCCTCGGGAGAGGAGGCACTGCAACTTTAAAGGCACATACCTCCAAAACTGTAGTGACTACCAAAAAACGATTAACTACAAAAATAAAGAATATGACATTTTACAAACTTTTGTAGTTGACAAAATTTCAACAACTACTGTATTTTTGGATATATGCGCCTTTAAAGTTGGGAGCCGAAAGGAATCAAGAGCGTCTAGATGCCTGTGTGCTCTTCAAACGTCTATATCTCCTATAATTCTAAAGACATTTTACTTATGTTAACAGCAAAATTAAATTTTATAACATTTAACACATTTCGTTAGTTGACAGCATTTTGACAGCTACTGTAGTTTTAGAGATATGCGCCTTTAATGTTGAGTCATGCCTTGACAGCGCCGCCGTTACTTTAAAGGCGCATATCTGAAAAGCTATGGTAGTTATCAAACAAGTATCAACAGCAAAAATGAATAACATAAAATTTCACACATTTTATTAGTTAACAACATTTTGCTAGCTTTTATAGTTTTTCTGATATGTGCCTTTAAAGATTTGGCGTCTTTAAGTGCTCCCTATCGCCCTCTACAAAAAATAAAGTTTTTTTCAGGATTCTCGAACTTCTGGAACTGAATTCGGAAGTGCGTTTTCTCTACCCAATATGGGTGGACGAGTATTCAATGAACTGTGCAGGTAGGTCCATTGGAGCTCACTTACTGAAAAAGTGCGTTTCCTCCAAAAAAAAAAGAGAAATTTGACAAAAAATAGGATCATAAAATCATACATAAATCTTAAAGACCGATTACAAAAAATGTGGTCCTTTGAACCCCCAAGAGACCATGTTTTGGGCAAAAAGTGTACTTCAACAAAATTTCAGACTAATCGCCAAATTCAACAGTTGCGTCCGTGACTACCGTAGTACATGTCCCAGACATGTCACTATTTCTCTCATCGATTCTTCGTATGGATATCTGTGTAATGAAGGCTATAATAGTGAGTTTCCATCAAATTCGCATTAGAGCGCACTTGCAAAAAATTGTATTTCTTGCTGTTCTTGCGCTCATTTGAAACTTATTGGCAAGGCAAACACTTCAAACTAATTTTTATCAAAATTGAGCAAAAACTGAGGGAGTTATGAGCAATTTAGCATTAGAGCGCATTTGCTAAAGAACTCCGAACCTAGTCATGTTTATAATCATTTGAAAGCTCTTGACAAAGCTAACACACCACACTAATTTTCATTCAAATTAAGCAGAAATTGAGTAAGTTATGCCCATTTTACCAAATTAGCATTAGAGCGCACTTTCTTCAACATTTCAACCCTAGGTGTGTTTATACTCATTTTGAAGCTCTTGACGAGACAAAAATTGCAAATTATGTTTCACCCGAATTGAGCAAAAACGGAGAGAGTTATAATCAAATTAGCGTTAGAGCGCACTCGCAGAAAAGTCCTCAAACCTAGGCATGATTATTCTCATTTTGAAGCTTTCGACACGCAGAATGTTACTAAGCAAGTCAAAAATTTTAAATAACATTAGTTAAAGATAGTTAGCTCAAATTCAAGAAAAAAGCAAGTTTTCAGCATTCATGGAATCGGCGGAGTGTCTCATGGAGTTGGATAGAAAGCCATCTGTAAAACGATGTCACGATGAGACTTTAAAGGAAATCGAATCTGCAAATACAGAGTCTGGAGTTTCAATGCCTGCAAAAGTTGATAGGATGTGTGGGTATGTTGGAATTGTTTATTTGAATTTCGAATTTTCACTGTAACTTTGTTAGTTTTATTCCGAACTCGAAAATTTTAACAGTATTGAAATCTATGCATTTTTAGCTTTCAAATGAGTATAAACATGAACCACTTCGAGAAATTTATGAAAACGCGCTCCATTGAGAATTCAGCCCTAACTCGACTAATGTTTATCTAATCTTTGTAAGAATTCAATTTTTGAGCTCGTTTCGTTTTTAGCTTTTAAAAGAGTATGAACAAGGACCGTTTTGAACAATTTATGAAATCGCGCTCTATTGATGATAATTTTTTACAGAGCGCTGAACTTCTTCTCGGGATGCGTACGAACGCCTATCAAGCAGGATTGTGGATTTTCAGCGTGGCAGGTTGGTTTGAATTCTGAAAACATTGAAAATTCAATTTTTTAAAAACGCGCTCCATTGAGAATTCAGGCATAAGTTGGTTAGTTTCAATCGCAACTTTGTGAAAATAATATTTTTGAAGTCCTTAACTTGTTAGCTTTCAAATGAGTATGATCATGACCATATTCAGAGAACCTTTGGAAAATGCGCTCTATTGATAATTTACCTGTAACTTTGTCAGTTTTCTTCCAAATTCAGAAATTTTTTGGCCATTCTGTTTTGCGCAGTTTCATCTTTCAAATGAATATAATCACGACTATGTTCAACAAATTTTGAAGAATGCAATCGCGCTCCATTGACAAAACCCTAAATTCCAGGTCATCTACCGTGTTCTCAAAGACACCACCAACACTCTGATGCCAGCTTGCCAATTCACTGGAACCTCTCAAAAATTGGCGTCATTTCAAAAAGAGAACAATATCACAAGCACTACAGTAATCCCAACGACTACAGTGCTCCCCACAAAGACTACAAAGACAACACTACAAACTACTACAAGAACTACAAAAGTTGTAGTTCAGGAGGATGAGGAAGAAGAAGACGATGAAGAAGAAATCGATTTGGAATTTCAGGAAAAACTGAATCAAAAGAAGAAAATGAGAAAAATCCAATCGGCTGAGCTAACTGATTCTTCGAATTCCCGAAATTTGAAATTATCGATTTTTTGCCTAGTTTTAGGCTACTTGATGCTTTTTTGAGAAAACATTTTCTTTCTGAAAATGTCAATCTTCAGAATTTCAGCCCAATTTCCCACCCACTCCCAATACGTGTACACTTCCCCCTTATTTCAAAAATTATTTTATTTAAAAAATCCATGGCCTAGATTTCCAAATTCCCCAAAAAATTCTAGTCCACCACATACTGTTTTCTCTTCTTCTTTCCTTCCAGGTGTCATCTTTTTGTGTTTTTCCGATTTTTCAATTTTTTAGAAAATAAAAATCTATTTATTTACTGTTTTTCTCAATTTTTGAAAGTTTCAGAATTTCAGAATTTTTCGTTGTCAACGGAGCGCGATTGTCAACATTTATTGTGTGAATAATAATTATAAAAATTACAATGTAAATGCATATAAAACGCCTAGAAAATCGATTTTTTAAACAAAAATCCAAAAAATATGGGAACAAAAAAAAGCTATAGAGAGTGCGGTAAAACGAGAGAGTGCTAGAGAAAAATGGAAATTTTTTTGGGAAAATTCAAAAAAAATTCCAAAAATTTTTTTTTGAAAATATTGAAACAATCGAGGAGGCAAGAAAAAACGGAAAAAAAAACAATGCCAGAGCGGGAAATTTGAATTTTTAGGGATAAAAAATTTTCAAAAAAAAATTGTTTTTGTCAACAATTTCAACTATTCAAATATCGATCCAATTCATTGATCGGAACTCGATCGTCCATAATAATCGACAAAAAATTGGTGTCGATATCGTCGTTCGCGTCTATTTGCTCAATTTCAGCGTCTGGAATTTTCAGCAGCGTCTCGTGTTCCTCGAAAAAGAGTCCTTCGATTTGATCGAGATCATCCAGGGGTTGTGGCTGAAAAATTTGAGAAATCTAAGTGATTTTTGATGGAATTTTAAAAAAATTGGAAAACAATTTTTTTTTGAAATTTTTTTTTTCTGGAATTGCAGATTTTCAGCCTTAACTCCGCCCATTTTAACCAAATTTTCTGAAAGTTGGATTAATCGATTTTTCTCATTTTCAGCCCATTTCCAGCCAACTTATTTTAAAATTAGATTAATCAATTTCTCTTATTTTCCGCATCAAAATGAGTATAATCATGGCCATTTTTCAGAAAATTTTTAAAACAATTTTTCTGGATTTTCAGATTTTCCCTCATAACTCCGCCCATTTTCAGCCAAATCTTTTGAAAACTAAACCAATCGATTTCTCTTATTTTCCGCATCAAAATGAGTATAAACATGGTCATATTTCAAAAAAAATTTGAAACATTTTTTCTGGACTTTCAGATTTTCAGCTATAACTCCGCCCATTTCCAGCCAAAAATTTTAAAACATAGCTCTATCGATTTCCTTGATTTTCAGCTTCAAAATAGGTACAATCACGGCTATATTGCAAAAAAAGTATTTTCAGATTTTTCCAGATTTTCAGCATATCATTTCAAAATCCTTACCTCTTCCACATTTTCCTCCAGAATCTGAACATCTTCATCTTCCACAACCTCCACGACATCTAAAAGTGCAATTTCCATTTCTTGGAATCCTCGAATAACGTCTTCAGAGGATTCAGAAGACGTCGGTGTATTCAGAACGGCTTCTAGAAGATTCTGAGCAGATGACGTTGCATGAGATTCTGCTTGACGTGGCTTTTTTGTTGAAGACGCCCATGGAACTATGTCCACTTTCTCGAGCGAAATTGTCGATGGATTTACAGATGGATCTGGAAAATTTTTCTTTGAAAAATTTCAGATTTTCAGCCATAGCTCCGCCCATTTTCAGCCTAATTTTTCGAAAATTAGAGCAATCGATTTCTCCTTTTAAAGGCTTCAAGATGAGTATAAATATAGCCGCAATTGATAAATTTCGAAATTTCAAATTTTTTGAGAAATCTGGAATTTCAGATTTTCAGCCCTAACTCCGCCTATTTTCAGCTTAATTTTTTGAAATTTAAACCAATCGATTTCTCTGATTTTCAGCTTCAAAACGAGTATAAACATGACTACATTTGAACAGATTTGAAAATTCGAAAATTTAAGATTTTCAGATTTTCAGCCATAGCTCCGCCCATTTTCAGCGAATTTTTTTTGAAAATTAGAGCAATCAATTTCTCTTGTTAAGTGCTTCAAAATGAGTATAAACATGACAATATTTGAGAAAAATTGAAATTTCGAATTTTTCAGATTTTCAGATTTCGAAGGAAAAAAAATTTTTTTCAAAAATTTTCAAATTTCCCTCCAAATCCTTGCCAGTCAATATAGAAATTTGTTTCTCCTTCTTGCTCTTTTTCGGTGCATTTTCCTCCGCCTTTTTCCCATTTTTTGGCTCAATTCGCTCCAAATTTTTCACCGATTCTCGATTTTTCTTCATCTCTTCTCTGCGTCTTTTATGTCTCTCTCTGTCTAGAAATCGTCGTTTTTCCAGTTGCTCCTCTTTTCTCTCCGTCTCTTCCCTCTCTTTTTCCAGCTTTTCTCGGATTTCTCGTTTTTCAGCCATTGATTTCAGCAATTTCTCGTTTTCCAGCTTTCTCGAGTAGTACCATGTTGGGAGACGGCCTCGTAGGAGATGTGGAGAGCTGAAAATCAGCGATTTTCAGAAAAAAAGTTGAAAAAAAATTTTTTTTGAGAAATTTTTTTTTCAAATTTTCAGAAAAAAAACTTGATTTTCAGACAAAAATAAAAGGAAAAATCGATTTTTCGGTGATTTGAAACATTCTAACTGGAGGAAAATTCGAAAATGTTGAATTTTGGAAAAAAAAATTTTTTCAAAATTAATTTTTCAGATTTTTAGCGAAAAATTCGGATGCCCCCGGAAGTCTTAAATCGAATTTTGGCTCATTTATTATAAATTTTAAGTGCAAAAATTACAAACTTTTAGCTTTTTTTTCGAATTTTTAGCAAAATTTCGATTTTTAAACAAAGATTTTGTTAAAAATCGATGATTTTAAGCACTCTAATCGGGGTAAAATTTGGAAAAATGGATTTTTTTGAAAAAAAATTTTTTAGAAGTTTTCAGAAATTTTCGAAATTTTCAGAAAAAAATCCGTTTTTCCAGATGTCCAGATGTTCAAAATATGAAATTTTTAAAAATTTTTATGTTAAAAATTGGATTTTCAGTGATTTTAAGCCATTTCTTGGCTGAAAATTGAAAAAAATTTCATTTTTCGAAATTTATTTTTTTCAAATTTTCAGCAAAAATTTACAGAAAGAAGTGATTTTCAGACAAAAATGCATCGAAAAAGTCGATTTTCGAGTGATTTGAAACACTCTAAACGACGACGAGAAAATGAGAAAATTTTGAATTTTCAAAAAAAATTATTTAGAATTTTTCAGAAAAAATCGATTTTTGTGTGATTTGAAACATTCTGAAAATGAAAAAATTCGAAAAATTTGAAATTTTCGAAAAAAAAAAATTTTCGAATTCAAATTTTCCGGATTTCCGTTTTTCCAGATGTCCAAGATTGAATTCTGGATCATTTACTATGAATTTTAAGTGCAAAGATATCGATTTTCAGCGATTTTCAGCGATTTTCAGACAATTTCTTTGACTGAAAATTTTTTTCAGAATTTTTTTTTCAAAATTTCAGAAAATTTGTGATTTTCAGAAAAAAATGCTTCGAAAACCCAAAATTTTCATTGATTTGAAACATTCTAATGAGGGGAAAATTCGAAAAAATCGATTTTTCACAAAAATATTTTTTTTCAAAATCGATTTTTTTTCAGAAATTTTGCTCATTTTTAATCGATTCTGATGAATCTTAGGTTGAAAAATATCGATTTTCAGTGATTTTCAGCTATTTTCAAGTCAAAAAATCTGAAATTTCACGATTTTTTGGCCAAAAACTCACAGAATTCTCTCTGGAATCACTTCTCTGACTTCGTGTTCTGGCAAAATGTCTGGAATTCGAATCTCCTCGTCGTCTGAATCCATTGTCAAATCGATGGTAGGCGTTGGAGATGGCGTCGGAGGTGGAACATCGTCGTCGGACTGAAAATTTCAGATTTTTGGAATTTTTTAAATTTGAAATTTGAAAAAAATTGCATCATTTTTTTCGAGTTTTCATCATTTTCCACTCACACTTATGTCAATTTCGATGATCTCGCTTGGAGTTTCAGCCTGAAAAAACAGCAAAATTTCAGATTTAAAAAAAAAACTACCATTTTCTTTTTTCGAATTTTCGGCGGTGGCACAGTTGGCATCTCGTCATCAGATGAGGATTCCTCAACGATGAGCTCTGAAAATAAAAATTTTCAGACTAATTTTTCCAGAAAAATCTGAAATTTTCCGTACTTTTTTTCGTTTTTTCCGGTTCTACAGAAATCGATTTTTGACGGGATTGTCGATGAAAATATCGAGATTTTCGACTCAATTGACATTCTTCTAGGGACGGTTTCTCTTCAAGCTGCGATCTGAAAATTTCAGATTTTCAGAATTTTCAGAAAAACATTTTTTTTTCTTACGCTAGTTCTTGGAATAGATCCTTGGATCCATCGATTTCCTTCATTTTTTAGGGAATTTTCCGGAAAATTTCTGTTGTTTTTCGAAATTGTTTGTTGTTTTTTTTTTTCGAAAATTTAGTTTTCCCTCCATTCTTACTGTAATATCCGGTTCCGCGCCAACGATCGGGAAAGGCGCCACGCGGAGAGACAGCAGGGAATGAAGAGACGCAGAGAAACGCCGGCGAATTTTTCAGCCAAATTTCAGCGATTTTTTCACCGTTTTTAACGGATTCTCTCGAATTTTCCGAAGAAATTACGCAAAAAGGCTACAAAAAATACAAAGACAACATACTACGAAATTTGCAAAAAATTTTCTGAAATTCAAAAAATTTATATTTTCATATAGGAGAGGGATTTGAAGTTGTCGGCTTCTCAAAAATCTTATTTTTGATTTTTGCGAAAGTGTCGGTTACTGTAGTCTTGACACGACTGCACATTCCACTGACAGCGTCTATGAGTGGACCAATATCGATATATAATTCTTCGTAATCATCATAAAATAGGTGTCTATGCTTTTTCGCATACAGTTTGTCCAATTCCGCTTCCCGGGCATATATAGAGTCGTAGCGTTTTCTCAATTCCTCCTCTGACTGAAAATAGCATTTTAAAAACATAAAATGCTGCTTTTCAGAGCAAAATAACGCTGAAAAACGGTTTTGAACCTCTAAAAAACCTATAAAACTTTTGAAAATCGAGATTTTTCAAAAATTCGCTCGGATGGCATAGTGGGATTTTTGAAAAATTTGAATCTCAACACCAGGGTTCGATTCCACTCGGTCCCAAACTTCTCAAAGCTCTTTTTGACTTTATTTAAAGCAAGAATTAGGGGTTCTAGAAAGTTCTAGACTCAAATTTAGTTGTCCTATTTACCTACAGAAAGATTTCCATACTGTCAACTTTCAGCCAATTTATCTTGCTTTCTGTGAAAGATATAAAAAAGTGGTCAACTGATAAAATGTTTATCATATCATAACAAACATTTTATCAGTTACCAACTTTTTGATATCTTTTACAGGAACCGAGATAACCTAGACCAAAGTAGATGCCGTATTTTGACCTAATTAAAGCCCACCATATACGTGCACTTTGAGCTCCATTATCTCAATTCCTATAGGAGATATCAAAAAGTTGTCCACTGATAAAATGCTTGTCATGATATGATAAACATTTTATCAGTTGACCACTTTTTGATATCTTTCATAGAAATCGAGTAAAATTGACTTTTATCGAAACCCTTCTATTACATGTTTTAAGGTACATGAATAGGACAACTAAATATGTGTAGAGAAATTTAAACACAGTGCAAACGCGCCCCGCTGAACAAGCTAAAAATTACCATATTATTAGAATCCAAGCTTTCCTCACGATTGAGAAGCGCTTCCATATGGCTATGGACAGCTTGATAGCTGCGAGCTCGTTCAGTTTCGGACTGTAAAAAGTTGGATTTTTGAGAATTTTAGAATCCCAGAACCTTCTTCTCACCCTTTTAAACACTCGTGGACCTAGCTTGCCCATTTCGATCATTGCTCGCTCGGCATGGATTTGTTCAAAGTTGAAGTACCGTGCTAATATCTTAATTAAGAGACTCAAGACATCAGTCACCGAGAAATTCGCAAAAATGAAGGCGAAAATTGGCAAGAAGAAGGAGAAGAAAGCTCTGAATTGATACTTTCATATGTTTCTTTTTGTTTTCTATTAATTGTTCAAAATATCCCTCATTTAAAGTCGGAATTCCGCGGAAAATTGCTTTTTTTCTATTTATTTTTTTCCAAATTTTCAGCTTTCCCACCAATATCCGCTTTCGCGCCAACGAGCCAGAAACGCGCCATGGGTTAAACAGCAGGGAGAGAAGAGACGCAGAGAAACGCAGGTGGATTTTCAATTAATATAATTTCCGTCGGATTTTCATCGATGTTCTCCGGAATTTCCCGTAATTTCCGATTGTTTTGAAGAAATGTGTGCACTAGGCAGGTCTAATGACCACCTGCACCTAAATTAATGCGCTGGTTGCTAGGGAGATTGGGTTTAAACGAAAATTCTCGAAATTTCCGAAATTATCGAATTTTCTGGAGCTTTCTGAGCTTTTCTAGTCCTTTTTGGAGGATAAAAAAACGAGAAATTTCGATTTTTCTCCGTTTTTCTTGCTAAATCTTCATTTTTTCTGCCGAAACCTCGATTTTTTTCAATTTTCCCTTTTATATCTTTAAAAAAGTCAATATTTTTCCAGAAATCATGTCTCAATACGAGCGATTTGACTCGGTGTTCCTCTCGCTTGCCCAACAGCTCAACGGCGGTGTCCCGCAGATGCTCGACGTGCTTTTTGAGTTTCTGTCGAGGTGAGAATTGAGAAATCGTCGTTTTGAGCCCTAAAATAGTTTGGCTTGGCTTAAATTTATGAATTTTTACTAAAAAAATATGAATTTTCCGTCCGGAAGAAGCTATTTTCAACGGAAACTCGTCAGAAAAATCATTCTATTTCTCATCGTTTTTCGCCATTTTGTGCCGTAAAATTAGCTGTTTCTGACTGAAAATCGTCTGAAAATGGCAGTTTTTGACCGAAAAGTCGCTTTTTTGGTCATTTTGAACCCTAAACTGAGCTATTTTCTACTAAAAATTTCCGAAAAACGATGGTTTTTCAACCGAAAACAGGTATTTTTCGTCGTTTTGAACCCTAAATCAGCCAATTTTCACCCAATGTTTATCATTTCCAGCCCTAAAAACATCTGTTTTTCACCGAAACTCGTCTGAAAATGACGAATTTCGCCGTTTTGAACCCCAAAATAGACTATTCTAACCCGATTTTTGTCATTTTCAGGCCTATAGAAAGCTGTTTTTAACTGAAAATCGTCTGAAAATGGCAGCTTTTGACCGAAAAGTCGCTTTTTTGGTCATTTTGAACCCTAAAATAGCCAATTTTCACCCGATTTCTGTCATTTTCAGCCTTAAAATTAGCTATTTTTGACGGGAAATCGCCCAATAATCACGAATTTTGAACGGAGGAAAACTGTTTTTCACCCAAAAACCGCCAAAAATGACGAATTTCGAACCGAAAATTCTCAATTTTTCGCCGTTTTTAGCCTCAAAATGAGCCGGTTTTTATTAAAAATCGTCTTAAGATAACTAATTTTTTTCAACAGAAAATCCGTATTTTCTGTCGTTTTGAGCTCTTAAAAATACCCTGTTTTGACCCAGTTTTCGTCATTTTCAGTGGCTTTTTTTAAACCAAGAATGGCTCAAAAATGACGGATTTCGAACCGGAATTCCGTTATTTTTGTCATTTGCAGCTCTAAATTGAGCTGGTGTTTACAAAAAATCTCTCAAAAATGACGAATTTCGTCGTTTTGACCCCTAAAATAGCCAATTTTCCCCAGATTTTTCCTATTTTCACCCCAAAAATTCCCCCATTTTCCAGAAAAACCGACTTCTACAGTGGCGCCGGTGTGGAGCAGGCTCGCGCTCTGCTCCTCGAGAAATTCGACAAACACGGTGGAAAAGCGATGAAGGAGGCGGAAGAGGCCAAGAAACGAAAGGAGGAGCAGGAGAAGAAGCTGGCTGAACGACGGGCGGCCCAGAAGGCAAAAGAAGAGGAAGAGTTCAAGAATGCGTCGAAAGTGGTGGAGGTTTCAGATGAGGAAGCTGCCGAGTTTGAGAGGAAGCAGAAGGAGAAGGAGGAGGCTCCAGAATCCACGACGGATACAAAAGAAGATGGAGAAGAGAGCCTGATGAAGCCGAACAGTGGGAATGGAGCGGACCTCGCTAAGTACCAATGGACTCAGACGCTTCAAGAGGTGGAGTGTCGGATTCCGATCAACGCCGGATTTGCAATCAAGTCTCGTGACGTCGTTGTCAAGATTGAGAAGACGTCTGTCAGCGTTGGCCTCAAGAATCAGCCCCCTGTCGTTGAGGGAAAGCTGGCGAACGCTGTGAAGGTGGAGAATTGCAATTGGGTGATTGAGAATGGCAAGGCTATTGTGCTTAGCTTGGAGAAAGTGAATGATATGGAGTGGTGGAATCGATTCCTGGACACGGACCCATCGATTAATACCAAGGAGGTGCAGCCGGAGAATTCGAAACTGTCGGATCTAGATGGGGAGACTAGGGCGATGGTGGAGAAGATGATGTACGATCAGAGACAGAAGGAGATGGGACTGCCGACGTCAGATGAGAAGAAGAAGCAGGATATGTTGCAGCAGTTCATGAAGCAGCATCCGGAGATGGACTTTTCTAATGCGAAAATTGGATAATTTGTTGATTTCTGGAGATTTTTGCCCTTTTTTTGCATTAAAATTGGGCAATTTTTGATAATTTGCCTGTTTTTTTTTGCGATTTTTATCAAGTTTTTAGCTCCTTTGAGTCATTTTTCTCGCTAGAAACTCGATGAAATTTCAAAATTTTTCAATTTTTATCGAGTTTTTAGCAAGAAAGTTGGCTGAAAAATCCCTCAAAAAGTGATATTTTTTCTTTTCTTTTTTTCAAAACCTATTTTTAGCTATTTCTTTCTGAATATTTTTCGCTTTGTGGGCCATTTTTCTTGCTGAAAACTTGATAAAATTTGATAAAAATTGCATCATCATCTCGTTTACTATTATATTTCTAATGATCTTTTTTGCATAAATTTTGCCGGTTTTTCTCTTTTTGTTCTGTGATTTTTAATGGGTTTTGAGCCAATTTTTATATATTTTTCAGAATTTTTCAATTCCAAAAATGGTAAAATTTCAGAAAATTCAAGTAAAATAGCGCTGAAAATGAATCCAAAAAAAGGGCGATTTTTTGCGAATCTTCATGCTAAAAACTTTTAGAAAAACGCTCGAGGATTCATGAATTTTCAGCTTTTTGGACCAATTTTCATATATTTTCCCAATTTTTTATATTTAAAAAAATGTGAAAAATCCTGAAAAAATGACCCAAAAATGAGCATTTTTTCATGATTTTCAGCCAATTTTCATGGTGAAAACTTTTAAAAAAGCTTGCTGATCTTTGAATTTTACGGGTTTTTGACCCCCAATTTTTTTCTCGAATTTTTAGTTTCAAATAATGGCCAAATCGCATATTTTTAGCAATTTTTCGCAATTTCAGGCCGTTTCCCTCTCCCACTCAGCCACAGAAAAATGGATGAGGACAATGAGATTGGACTTCCACAGAAGGGAATCAATCAAATCGTCAAAGAGATCATCCCCGACGTTCGAATCGCCAACGAATCCCGGGACATGATCAACGCGTGCTGTGTGGAATTTGTGAAGCACGTCGCGCGAGAAGCTCAGAAGATTGCGAGTCAGGATCAGCGCAAGACGATCTACCATGAGCATGTGCAGAAGGCGTTGCAGAACTTGGGATTCACGGCGGACTATTTGGAAGCGGCGGATAGTGTGCTAGATGCGTGCAAAGTACGCCAAAAAGAAGCGAAAAAACCCCCTAAAAATAGCGAAAAATTTCAGGTTGAAGCGGAAAAGAAGCTAAAACGAAAGAACTCCCGCCTCGAAAAGTGTGGAATTCCAGAAGAAAAACTGTACGAAATGCAACAAGAGCTCATCGCAAAGGCACGCCAAAAGGAAATCGATCAGCAAATGGCTCATCAGCAAGCACAAGCCGCTGCGGTGGCTGCTGCCAACGCGCAAATGTTCGGAGGAGAAGGACCATCGGATGGCACCGCTGCGCCAACCGATGATGACTATGATAATTGATTTTTGACCTAGTTTTTTTTTGAACTTTTTCTTTATTTTCTATCGCTTTGTACACTTTTTCTACGGGTTCTCTCCTATTTTTTTGAACTAATTTTTCTGCAAGCTTGTCCTAAATGCGTCATCTGGGTGGTGAGGTGGCGCCAGATGGCACCACATCGCCAACTCCCCAAAGGAACCTTCTAGAACAGCTATCAGTTCTTCTGTGGTTCGTCAATTACAAGCACAAATGTCAGATTCGGAGATAGCGCTTGAAAAATTGAAAATCAACGAGGAAAAGGACGGTAAGCCACATTTCGTCATCGCTTTTTTCCCTCTGTATAATAATAAATATATGAATTATTCATGAGATTTTCGATGGATTGGTTGCTGGCGACCGAATTTTCATATTTTCTCCCTTTTTTTTCGCGTTTTTCCATTCTTTTCGTTGATAAACGACCAATTTTTGGGATTTTTAACCGAAAAAAATCGGAAATTCTCGTAAATCCACCCGGCGGGTCTCGACACGAAAACGTTCTTACTGTATGCGCCTTTAAAGTTGCCGCACTTTTGAATTTTCTCATCGTGTTTCGTTAACTTTCCTTCCGTTTTTTCGATGATTTTTCATGAAAATTGTCTGTAAAAACGGATTTTAAAATCAAATTAATGAAATTTTAACTGTTTTTCAGCCGAAAAATTCGATTTTACTCTCGAAAATTGTCATTTTTCTATTGAAATTGATTTTTTGCTCATTAGTTAATTTTTTTTGACAATTTTTCATGAAAATTGTCGGTAAAATAGGATTTTCGATGGAAAATTATGGGTTTCCAGCAGTTTTTTCGCCTAAAAATCCGATTTTTTACTCTAAAAACTGATTTTTGCTGATTATCCGGATTTTTTTTGAAGACCGCTTCTTGGATTTTTCGTCTCAGTTTCTATCGAAAATGCGATTTCAGGATGATTTTTTAACCTGTAAAACCGTTTACCCGCTCAAAAAAAAACCATTTCCGATATTTTCCTCATTGCATTCACCCAGAACACCCCTATGCGCAGCGCTTTTTTGTCGCTCTATTGCTCGCGTTATTGATTTTGCGCCGGCGGAAATTTTTGAATGGAAGACTATCGCTTGGTATTGTTCGTTGAATAAAATTCCCTTTTCTCCCCCATTTTCACTCATAATTCATTGTTTTTTTTGCAGGAATGACCGAGCACGAGGAGGAGTCCAACCACTCTTCATCAGCTCTCTACCCTCTGAAGAGACACTGGACGTGGTGGTATTTGAACGATGAGCGTACGAAATCGTGGGAGGATCGTCTGAAGAAGGTGTACACCTTCTCGACGGTTCCAGAATTCTGGGCTCTCTACGACGCCATCCGACCGCCAAGTGGTCTCAACCCAATGTGCGACTACAACGTCTTCCGCGACGATATCCAGCCAATGTGGGAAGTTCCGGAGAACGCGAACGGTGGACGCTGGCTCATCGCTGTTGATAAATCGAAACAGGACATGGTCGATGCGATCTGGCTGGAGATTCTGATGGCGTTGGTTGGCGAGCAGTTTGGAAAGGATATGGAGTCGATTTGCGGACTGGTATGCAATGTGAGAGGGAAGGGATCGAAGATCAGTGTCTGGACCAAGGATTGCAATGATGATGAGACCAATTTGAGAATTGGGTGAGTGAAATTAAGACAAATAGGGTTGAACCAACGATTAACTAATTAATTACAGAGTGGTCCTCAAGGAGAAGCTGATGGCAGCATCGAAGGATCTCACAAAGCCACTCTTCGACGTCATCCGCTACGAAGATCACGACAGTTGCCAGAAGAAGACAAGCTCACTCGTCAAGGCGAAACTCTCACTTCACTCGGCCGAGAATCCGGAGAAGCCAGTGGGATCGTTGTGAAGAGCATGGATCCAGTTAATAAATATATTCGCATTACTTGTTTCTCCCCACACAATCTCGCTTTGTTGTGTCAGCGACACACTGTTTTCTTTCTCGTTTGTCATCACTTTTTATGCGCATCTAATAAATCGCAAGTAATCGAACTTTGAATGTCCACCCCTTTGTGGTTTTCCAGACCCGCCTCTATCTCTATCGTTGTAGTGTATAGTGTAGTCGGCAGGGTAGGTCAAAGTCCACGAGATGATAAGAGGACCCCGCCGCGAGACAGCGGGTCACTATCTATCTCTGTGTCTTCTTCGGTCTCTTCTGTTCTCTTTTATTTTGCCAACTAATTTTTCGTTTTTCTCCCAATTTTTTATTTTTTTTCCAGGTTTTTCGTGGCTCACAATCCATATTTTTTTCATTAATGTGGGTTTATTTCAGAACCAAAAAGACACCTGAAAGTTTCAGGCTGAAACAATGGCAGGAAAAGGTAAAAATCGAGGTGATGTGTGATGTTAGAAGTGTGATTGTTTAGGTGTATTCATCGTCGGAGCGAAACGTACCGCCTTCGGAACGTTTGGCGGAAAACTCAAGGGGCTGAGTGCGACGGATTTGGGAGTGGTCGCCTCGCAAGGAGCACTGAAGCACGCTAATGTTGGTGCCGACGCGGTGGATCATGTCATTTTTGGTAAGAGGCGATTTTGGAGGATTCTGGAGGAAATTCGAAGGAAATAAACCGAAAATTCGAGATTTTCGGGGAAAACTTAGCTAAAAATCGATTTTTAAGCCTTAAAAAGACCAACAATTCAGGTATTTATGTCTGTAAATCAATCGTTGGCTTGACAAAAAATTCGATAAAAATCCGGAAAATTCTGGAAAATTGCATCATTTTTTTCGGATTTTTTGAAGAAAAAATAAGAAAAATCTGAAGTTTTAAACCGGAAATTTTTGGAAATTTATGGAAAATTCAACCGGAAAATTAGGCGAAATTCACCATTTTTCATGAATTTTTCGAGAAAAATCGACTCAAAATCAAGAAAATTTAGAAAAATTGCATCATTTTTTCTGAATTTTCAGCCAAAATTTGGCAAAAATTCTTTAAATTTTTTGAAAATTCCAACAGAAAAATCTGCCCAAAATGAACATTTTTCAATAGAAAATTAACGAAAAAATGCTTGGAATTTAGTGAGTTCTAGAGAAAATTCGTAAGGAAATTGGCTGAAATTCAATGTTTTTTTCGATTAAAAATCCTCAGAAAATCGCGAAAAAAAATGGACCCCAAATGAGCATTTCCATAGATAATTTAAGAAAAAACCCCTGAAAAACTGACAAAATCGCTTTTTCTCATTGAAAAACTCGCAATTTTTGAGGTTTTTAGAGTCCTAATCGCAGAAAAAGCGATTTTTTTTTCAGTTTTTCAATAGAAAACGTCTCATTTTGAGTCGATTTTTGACTCGAAAATCGACCCAAAATGAGGATTTTTCTACTGAAAAATTGAAAAAATAGCTTTCTAGGACCCTAAAAACATGCCAAAAATACGATTTTTGAGTCAAAAATCCATTGTCTCTCTTCAGGAAACGTCGTAGCGAGCTCTCGTGATGGCATCTACCTGACCCGTCACATTGGTCTCAAGGCAGGCGTCCCACAAAACGTCGGAGCCCTCACCGTCAACCGTCTCTGTGGATCCGGCTTCCAAGCGGTCGTCAACGCGGCCCAATCCATTAAACTCGGCGAAGCGAACATTGTCTTGGCGGGAGGAACCGAGAATATGTCGATGGTTCCATTCGCAGTGAGGGATATTCGTTTTGGAACCGCTCTTGGAAAGAAATACGAATTCGAAGATATGCTTTGGGATTCGCTGAGCGATCCGTACGCCAAGCTAGCTATGGGACAGACTGCGGAGAAATTGGGTGCTCAGTACAAGGTGACACGTGCCGAGGCGGATGAATTCGCGTTGAGATCGCAGACACTGTGGAAGAAGGCCCAGGACGCCGGGATTTATAAAAATGAGATTGTTGGAATTACGGTGAAAGGGAGAAAGGGAGAAGAGAACTTCGATGTGGACGAACATCCAAGGCCAACGACAGCGGAGTCACTGGCCAAACTGAAGCCAGTATTCCAGAAGGATGGATTGGTTAACGCTGGAAACGCATCTGGAATCTCGGACGGTGCCGCCGCGCTGGTTGTCGCTGGAGAGGACTCGGTGAAGGCAAAGAATCTGAAGCCGTTGGCTCGTGTTGTGGCATACTCGGCTGTCGGATGTGATCCGACGATCATGGGAATCGGACCAGCGCCAGCGATTCGCGAGGTGTTGAAGCAGAGTGGATTGAAGATTGGAGATATTGATATCTTTGAGGTTTGTGGAGGAGGGGGGGGGGGGGAGGAATTTGGCTGGAAATGGGCTAAAAAGGGTCCAAAATGAGCTGAAATTGGCTTAATTTGCAGAAAATGCATAGAAAATTCGGCTAAAATGCGATTTTTTCGAGCTGGAAAATCCATAGAAAATGGAAAATTTCGCATCGTTTTTCCCAAAAATTTCGAAAATTTTCAAAAAATCTAATTTTCCGAAATTTGCCAAGTTTTCCAGAAAAAATTTTAATTGTCAGAAATTCGCTAAAAATCCATAAATTTTGGAAATTTTGTTTGAAAATTGGCTGAAAATAGTCTGGAATTTATCTGGAAAAGTCTAAAACGGTCTAAAAACGGTCATTAAGCGGACGGAATTGGACGAAAAAATGTCCGAAATGAGCTGAAATAGACCTTACACTGCCTGAAATCGGCCGAATCCGAGGAAAATGGGTCAAAAATTCGATTTTCACGTCTAGAAGTTGGCTGAAACTGCCTGATTCCGGGCCGATTCCTTCAGTTTTCAGCCCTGGTTGAAGCCATTTTTGGCTTAAAATGACTTTTTCAAGTCATTTTATGCGTATTTTGAGCCATTTTGAAGTCCGCTTTGGCTTTGAAATGGGACAAAAATGGTCGAAAATGAGCTGAAAATGCCCCTTAATCTGTCGAAATTCGAGAAAAATAGGTCAAAATGACCTGAAAATGCCTGAAATAGGCCTAAAAATCATCCAAAACCAAACATTTCCAGGTCAACGAGGCGTTCGCCCCACAAGCGCTCGCCGTCCAGCGTGAGCTCGGAATCCCAATGGAGAAATTGAATGTCAATGGAGGAGCCATCGCTCTCGGCCACCCTCTGGCCGCGTCTGGAGCCAGAATCTCCACCCACATTGTCCATGAACTTCAGTAAGAATTTTCTATTTTTTATGAATTTTGGGCGCCAAATTTGAACTTCCTTTCAGACGCCGCAATGTCAAGTACGGAATCGGATCCGCCTGCATCGGAGGAGGACAAGGAATCGCGATTCTTTTCGAGAAAATCTAAATTTTCCTTCTTTTTTCTCTTTTCCCCCAGATTGTATAAAAATTGCCGAATTTTCCCCCTTAAATTAGTGTATTTCGTGTCCCATTCTGTATATGTAAACGAGTTTCAGAGATTTTTTACTGTTTTTGTCTGATTTTCCCCGAAAATTAGGTGAAAATCGCCTAAAAATCGCCCAAAAATAAACGAGTTTTATCTAGCTGTGCAAACACCACGACGCCAGATTGCGGATTTTCCCGAAGCGGCGCCATATTTGACGACACTTGAGAAGAGTGTTAGAGTGTATAATCCATTTGGGAATTGATTATGTGTTTCTCTTTTTTGTCTTTTTTGGTTTCAAATTGAAAGTTTTTTTGAAAACTTTAGATTTTAACCTTAAAAAATCGATAATTTTGAAATTTTCGGTGATTTCAGGAGCCGAAAAGCATGCGATTCGAGGATATTGGAATATCGAAAGTGGGTTTTTGAAAAATTAATTTTTTTTGAAAGAAAAAAAGAAAAATAGGGAAAAAGAAGCGAAAATTGGTGTGGCAAGCACCGGAAACGGGCGTTTTTCTTGGCAAAAAATGTATAACTGGGTTCTAATTGCGCTCTACGGAACTAGCAAACGCGCTCTATTAAACTCTGCGCCCTGCTTGATTTTAGAATGTTGTAAATGCGCTCTATTGGAATTTGATTTTTTTTTTGGAATTTTTGAAATTTTCGGATTTTCGAAGAATTTGAATTTCGAAATTTTCGGACTTTTGTACTTTTTTGGAATTTTTTTGACTTTTGAAAATTTAAATTTTGGGTTTTTTGGAATTTTTGATATTTCAGAATTTCAAAAAAAATTTTGAAAATTACAAAAAAATTGAATTTTGGATTTTTTTTTAGTATTTTCGAATAATTTGGAAATTTTTTTTTTTGCAATTTTCGGATTTTCAGAAACTCGAAATTTCGTTTTTTGCAATTTTCGAATTTTTCGGTTTTTCGAAAAATCGAATTTTTTGGAATTTTTCTGAATTTCAAGAATTCGGAATTAGTGAATTTTTGAATTTTCCATGTTTTTTGAAAAATTTTTCGATTTCCAGATTTTTCTGAAAATTCTGGTCCCCCTCCAGAATTCCCTATTTTTCTGCAATGAATAATGTAATGAGGTTGACATGCGAGTTTTTTTTTCGGGAGAAAGAGAATTTCTCTCTCTCTCTCTCTCTCTTTTCTTAAAAAACCAATTTCTTCAATTTTTCCTTTCTCCGTTTTTCTTCTTTTTTTTTCCTGGAGCCTTTTTTCTCTATTTCTCTAATTCTCTCTCTCTCTCTCTCTCCTCTCTCTCTCTCTCTCTGAGCACAAAAATGCTCCATGGACCTCTCTCTCTCCACTGTGCTCCAGCCCCAACACAACAAACGCCTCTCCTCATCTATTTTTCTCTCTATTTTTCTTTCTTTGCCAATTGAAGAAAATTGCTTATACTACTACTTTCATATTTACTATTTGAATTTTATTACTTTTTTTAGTATATGATTTTGGCGAAAATCAAGGAATTATAGATGTTTTTCTCACTAGAAATTGCAGGAATAGTGTCAAAAATCGGCTTTGACACTAGCTGAAAATTGGTGAAATTTGAAAAAAAAAATTCATGAGAATATTGCTGAAAATATAGCTGAAAATTGATAGAAATTTGACGGAAAAAAGTTAAACATTTAGAAAAAAAAGTGTTTTCGAAAATCTCAGAAACATTATTGGAATACGGAATATTTTTTGCGAAATTTCAAAATTTCGAAAAATTTAAAAAGTCGAGGATTTTTTTCATTTTTTTTTCGGAATTTTATGAATTTTTCGAATGTATTTATTTCAAATAAATTTGTCTAGTTTGATGCGAAAATTGCTGAAATTCTGAAAAACGGGAAAAATATTTTTTTCCGATTTTTCTGTCAAATTCTGACGTTTTTTTCAGAAAAAATTTCTAGAAATTTGAAATTTAGATTCTTAGATTCTTAGATTCTTAGATTCTTAGATTCTTAGATTCTTAGATTCTTAGATTCTTAGATTCTTAGATTCTTAGATTCTTAGATTCTTAGATTCTTAGATTCTTAGATTCTTAGATTCTTAGATTCTTAGATTCTTAGATTCTTAGATTCTTAGATTCTTAGATTCTTAGATTCTTAGATTCTTAGATTCTTAGATTCTTAGATTCTTAGATTCTTAGATTCTTAGATTCTTAGATCCTTAGATTCTTAGATTCTTAGATTCTTAGATTCTTAGATTCTTAGATTCTTAGATTCTTAGATTCTTAGATTCTTAGATTCTTAGATTCTTTGATTCTTAGATTCTTAGATTCTTAGATTCTTAGATTCTTAGATTCTTAGATTCTTAGATTCTTAGATTCTTAGATTCTTAGATTCTTAGATTCTTAGATCCTTAGATTCTTAGATTCTTAGATTCTTAGATTCTTAGATTCTTAGATCCTTAGATTCTTAGATTCTTAGATTCTTAGATTCTTAGATTCTTAGATTCTTAGATCCTTAGATTCTTAGATTCTTAGATTCTTAGATTCTTAGATTCTTCG